TCTACGGGGCCCCCCGGGCTGTGGGAAGACCACAGTAGTCGCTGCTGCCTGTAGTCACCTTAGGCTCCACTTACTGAAGGTGAGGGTCTCTGGAGAGTAGAACCCCAACTATTTCCCCTCCTTAGCTCACGTTCTCCCTCTCTGCTGCTTCCTCTCGCCTCCCTCCTCTATCTACTCACAGGCCCTAACACTTCAGCCCAGTGGGTCAGGCATATTCCCATGATGCTCAGCTACGGAGAGGTACTTTCAAGGAGAGGTTTCAAGATATTGGTGGACAGTCCAGGGAATGGGGGTAGGGTAAAAAAGAGATAGAACTTGGCCAGGGTACCTGGCCAGGATGGGGCCATCCCTGCCCTCCAGAGAAAAAGATGGCCCTCTGACTACTCCTCCCCCTCATTCTCCTGCCCTTGTCATGCTTGCCTCTTGCTCGCAGACCCATTGGGACCCCCTCCCCAGGTGCCCTGCTCCAGCCTCTGCGCAGACAGTAGTGGGGCTGTGGAAACGAAACTGCAGGCTGTCTTCTCTCGGGCCCGCCGCTGCCGGCCTGCGGTCCTGTTACTCACAGCTTTGGACCTTCTGGGCCGGGACCGCGATGGGCTGGGTGAGGATGCCCGTGTGGTGGCTGTGCTGCGTCACCTCCTTCTCGATGAGGACCCCCACAACAGGTATTTATACAGAGCTGGGTCTATCAAAGTGGGGGAGGCCAGCCAGGTACAGTGGCTCCCGCTTGTGATCCCAGCACATTGGGAGGCCAAGGTGGGTAGATCACTTGAGGTCAGGAGTTCTAGACCAGCCTGGCCAACGTGGTGAAATGCTGTCTCTACTAAAAATACAAAAATTAGCTGGGCATGGTGGCGGGTGCCTGTAATCCTAGGTACTTGGGGAGCTGAGGCAGGAGAATCGCTTGAACCCAGGAGGTGGAGGTTGTAGTGAGCAAGTTCACACCGCTGCACTCCAGCCTGGGTGATAAAAGCAAGACTGTCTTAAAAAGAAAAAAAAAAAAAAAAGACCGGGCGCGGTGGCTCAAGCCTGTAATCCCAGCACTTTGGGAGGCCGAGGCAGGTGGATCACAAGGTCAAGAGATCAAGACCATCCTGGTGAACAAGGTGAAACCCCGTCTCTACTAAAAATACAAAAAAAAGTTAGCTGGGCATGGTGGTGCATTCCTGTAATCCCAGCTACTCAGGAGGCTGAGGCAGGAGAATTGCCTGAACCCAGGAGGCGGAGGTTGCAGTGAGCCGAGATTGCGCCATTGCACTCCAGCCTGGGTAACAAGAGCGAAACTCCGTCTAAAAAAAAAAAAAAAAATGGGTCGGAGGCCCAGCCTTCCTACTTTTCAGCCTTTCAGTCCTCCCTTCTCTCACCCCTCAGTGGCTTCTCAGTCATCTCCTGCCCATTTGGCTGCCCTCTAAACAGCCCTGAGCTCAGCATCTTAGAGGGATCTAGAGGGAGGAGTCTGTGGTCTAGCATTTCTTGGGGAACACTTGGTTAAAGATGAAGCACAGCCTCTGCCCTCAATGAGGGGGAAGCACAGTTCTCCCATCTAGGAACTGGGATAGATGCTTGTCTCCCTGTCCCATCCCAGCACCCATCTCACCTCCCTGCCCTTCTGGGCCGACCTTGGGACAAGGCAGTGCACAGGAGCTGCCAGCCATATTCTCACCCTCAGCACCCATTCTTCTGCCTGCAGCTGCCCTCCCCTCTTGGTCGTGGCCACCACAAGCCGGGCCCAGGACCTGCCTGCTGATGTGCAGACAGCATTTCCTTATGAGCTGGAGGTACCTGTGCTGTCAGAGGGGCAGCGGCTCAGCATCCTGAGGGCCCTCACTGCCCACCTTCCCCTGGGTCAGGAGGTGAACTTGGCACAGCTGGCACGGCGGTGTGCAGTGAGTATCAAGGCAGAGTACTGGCCCTCCCTAGGAGGTCCCTGGCTTTTGTCACAAGAATTCAGTCCTGTTGCCCTCTGAGAGTAGAAAACCCTGAGGCATCAACAGGGGCCTCTGCTCCAGCTAAGGGACAGTCCCCTGAAGGGTCCTGCCTACTGTGCCCTGCTCATATGTCCTCTCCTGTGGTCCCTAGGGCTTTGTGGTAGGGGATCTCTATGCCCTTCTGACCCACAGCAGCCGGGCAGCCTGCACCAGGATCAAGAATTCAGGGTAAGAGGAGTTGGGTACAGGAGAGGAAAGGAGGAGAGGAAATGGATGTAGATGGGTGGGTGGTGAGGAAGGGAAAAAGGAATGGATGCTGATGGGGAGGAGGACTCATTCGAGATCCTCCAGAGGCCTCCCTGTGTTCCTCTTTGCAGTTTGGCAGGTGGCTTGACTGAGGAGGATGAGGGGGAGCTGTGTGCTGCCGGCTTTCCCCTCCTGGCTGAGGACTTTGGGCAGGCACTGGAGCAACTGCAGACAGCACACTCCCAGGCCATTGGAGCCCCCAAGGTACAGACTAAATTCTTGGAGGTGGGACAGGAGCCCCTCCACCAGCATATCCCAACCTCGTACTTTCCATCTGCTAGATCCCCTCAGTGTCCTGGCATGATGTGGGTGGGCTGCAGGATGTGAAGAAGGAGATCCTGGAGACCATTCAGCTACCCCTGGAGCACCCTGAGCTACTGAGCCTGGGCCTGAGACGCTCAGGCCTTCTGCTCCATGGGCCCCCTGGCACCGGCAAGACCCTCCTGGCCAAGGCAGTAGCCACTGAGTGCAGCCTTACCTTTCTCAGGTGGCCAGGGGGCCTGGAAGGGATGGTGGGTGGATCAGGGGCTGCAACACACTGGGGAGCAGGAGCAGGAGGGGCTGCCCAAGAGGTCAATTGTGTGTATGTGCATCTGACATCCTTCTCACATCTTCTCACTCAGTGTGAAGGGGCCAGAGCTCATTAACATGTATGTGGGCCAAAGTGAGGAGAATGTGCGGGAAGGTGAGTGAGCAGGGAGGGGCAGGGCTTCCCATCCTTCCCAAACCCCGATGGCCTCCAAGCCACCCCCACCCCCAGGCTACTCATGATCATTCCTAATCCTCCTTTCCACAAGTCAGGTTCCTGCCCACCTGGGTCTAATGGAGTGCATTGCTGTATTGTCAGACCCCAGCCTCCCTCCTTGCTCTCGCCTAACTTCAACTCCCCACCAGCTTCCTCCTCCTGTGGGCCCCTCTCTCTCCAGTGTTTGCCAGGGCCAGGGCTGCAGCTCCATGCATTATCTTCTTTGATGAACTGGACTCTTTGGCCCCAAGCCGGGGGCGAAGTGGAGATTCTGGAGGAGTGATGGACAGGTGGGGGTCTGAGTGGGAATGGAGGCTGGGGGGTCCAGATAGAAGTTCCTGTCATTTCAGTTCTGAGATAATATAATGGAAGCTGAAAGGGGCCATGGAATTGGGCAGGGGCCACTGAGGAGAATGGAGGCCTACCTGGAGGGGCACACCGGGCACAGCTGAGCAGAAGGCCCTGTTGAGACTGCCTGTAAGGAAAGGTACCACAGGCAGGGCAGAGTCTGAGGGGACACCAAGGACTCTTGCTCCCTTCTCTCCAGGGTGGTGTCTCAGCTCCTTGCTGAGCTGGATGGGCTGCACAGCACTCAGGATGTGTTTGTGATTGGAGCCACCAACAGACCAGATCTCCTGGACCCTGCCCTTCTGCGGCCTGGCAGGTGGGCCCCTCGTGCCGCTCACCTCATTCTGTGCCTCCTTCACCCCTCGTGGCTGGGCTCCCTGACACTTAACACCTGCTTATCTCCCTAAAGATTTGACAAGCTGGTGTTTGTGGGGGCAAACGAGGACCGAGCCTCCCAGCTGCACGTCCTGAGTGCCATCACACGCAAGTATGCCCTGATAGAGGAAGACTGCAAAGGGCTTGGGCCTTGGGATGCTTAGGGGATGCATGCAACATGCAGGATGACCTGGTCAGCACCAGCTTTCGAGGGAGGTGATGTCAACTGTTTCTTCCTGTATCCCATAACAGATTCAAGCTAGAGCCATCTGTAAGCCTGGTGAACGTGCTGGATTGCTGCCCTCCCCAGCTGACGGGCGCAGACCTCTACTCTCTCTGCTCTGATGCCATGACAGCTGCCCTCAAACGCAGGGTTCATGACCTGGAGGAAGGTAAGCCACTTGCCACCCTGAGAGGTCAACTAAAAAGCTAGTGGGGAGTTGGGTGTACCTGAGTTCAGCTACTTGAGAGGCTGAAGTGGGAGGATTGCTTGAGCCCAGGAGTTTGAGGCCAGCCTGGGCAACACAAAGAGACCCCATCTCTATAAAAAAAAAAAAAAATCTAAGGAAAAAAAAGCTAGTGGGAGACAAATCTACTTCTAGATTTCAGAGGGAAGATCACTGACATCTTAAGAGACCCTGAGCAGGAACGCACCTTCCCAGGGCTTTCCCCTGCCTGGGCATAGACCATAGCCTCTGTTCCCCAGCCTGGATGGGGACTCTGGCCTCACCTCCCCACTTGTCACCTCTAGGGCTGGAGCCAGGGAACTCAGCACTGATGCTCACAATGGAGGACTTGCTGCAGGCTGCTGCCCGGCTGCAACCCTCCGTCAGTGAGCAGGAGCTGCTCCGCTACAAGCGCATCCAGCGCAAGTTTGCTGCCTGCTAGGAGCCCCCCAGGGCCTGGGACCCCACCCAGCATGGCTGCAGGTACCTCAGTAGCCCACAGAGAGATCTAGGAGGGAAGGACTCCTCAGGCTGCTGCCAACCCACCTGGAGGCCACCTCCCTCCAGGAGATTCCAGGGTGCAAAGTGGCATTGGGACAGCAGCAAGAGCTCAAGAGACATGTCCTGCCTACTTGCCTCTCCTTCCAGGAGGAGGGCCAGGGCCTTGGGTTCTGGGGATTAGGTCCTGAGAGGGCTCATTTTGTGGCTGAAAATAAAGCGTGTGCCGCCCCCTACTGGTGTGGCATGAAAGGTTGTCGTGGGAAAGAGCAGGGCTGAGAGGGGAGTAAGCGCTGGGGGAGGGCAGCAGTGGGTATCATGGGAGCCTCATCCTTCTGACATAAACACAAGGCATGCCGGAACTGAAAAAGGCACAGACTATATTGTTTACCCTTCCATCTGCGGAACCCACATCCCTGCACCCCATCTGTAGTCTGCTCTAGAGGCTGGGCCTGGTGTGTGGCTGCTGGTCCCTATCTTCCAGACAGAGCCTAGCAGTGCCTGGGTGGAGGATGGTGGGAGCTGAGGCCACACTCAGTCTGTCCTCTTGAGCACGTGGATGAAGTAGCAGGGAACGTAGGCTTGGCCTGGCTTGTAAGGCTTGAAGTCGCCCAGGACGCTGTGCTGGCACTTGCCCCCGAAGGCTGCTTGGACCAACTCCGTGAAGGATGCCAGACAATGCGGGTAGTAGGAGAGCCGGAACTTACTGTAACAGAGCCCCAGCAACCATGAGGACGGGTGGCCTCAGCTCCCCCAACTACCACCTCACCCGCACTGAGCCAAGTGGTACCTCAAGCCAGGAGAGCCATCCTGGCCAGCCCCCGGCACCTGCACTGTGTAGTCCAGGGTCACCATGTGGGCCTTGTTGTTCACTGTCAGCACTGATGTTGTGATGTCCTTGGTCAAGTCACTCTATAGGTGGTGGGGCAGGCTGCATTAGCCTCTGTAACCCACCTTGGGGCCACTGGACCCTCCCTTCCCCCCACTCCCAGAGGGCCCCACCTTATAGTAGATGTTCTTCCCTGGGGGTGCACAGCCTGTGCTGAGGATGTGGTCGTAGTTGCGATGATCAATGACCAGCAGGCCCCCTGCCCGCACCATGCTCGCAATGTTTTTCAGCGCCAGCCGGTGCTCACTCTGGTCCCCTGAGCTCCAGGCAGGGGCAGAAAGATTTCATCTGCTCAGGGTCCCCAGCACCAGTCTCCCTCCCATCTCTCCCCTCCCCAGGGGTGCCAGAGCCAAGGCAAGAGAGGCAGAGTCTGCTTTGGCAGGAGAGCAGGTGCCCAGAGATCTGTGAAAGGGGATACAGCTCAAGGCAAGGACCGTGCCCAAAGCCACACCCTCTCTCACCTTTGCAGTCTGGCAAGTGAGCGAAACTGTTTCCAAGACAAATGACAGCATCAAAGCCACCCCCTGCTGGCTGGGGCACATCTTTGTCCAGAGTCATCCAGTTGGCTTCTTCGATGACTGGAGGCCAGGAAGGGAAAGAGGAATCAGGGAGGCACAATGGTACTGGTAGCAGCCACCTCCACCAAGTGCAGTCCTGCCTGGGTTTCTTTTCAAGACACACAAACTCCCTGTTCAGTTAAGGGGAGGAGAGAGGACGGGTCAAGGGAGGAGGAACCCTGGTTGGGAAGGAGGGCTCTGTGCTTATGGGTTTTTTCTTTGAAGGGAGAGACAAGACGCCATAAACACAGTTAAAAGCAGCTCTTCACACCCTGTGTCTTATTCTGGAGTTTAAGCCTTGCTTTTCAGAGAAATGACAGTAATTTTGCTGTCTCCCTGAGGAAAACACAACACTCCACCTCCACCCCCACCTAAAGGAGCCCCAGGCAGAATGAACAGTGTTCCTGGTGGCTAGGCTGAGAGCTCCTAGCTAGACATGCATACCCCACTTGTCGAAGGCAGACTCATGCCGCCGGTTCCAGCGCTCCTTAAGCGCATACTTCAGCATCTTGTCACTGGCATCCACACTCGTCACGCTGAAGCCCTCTTCCACTAGCATAATGGAGTCCACCCTGGGCAGGGCCAGCAAGGAGCAGCAGAGAGAGGCAGTCAGGGGAACCTGGGAGGGCCAGGAGGAGACCCTGGGCCAGACACTTTTTTTTTTTTTTTTTGAGACGGAGTTTCGCTCTTGTTACCCAGGCTGGAGTGCAATGGCGCGATCTCGGCTCACTGCAACCTCTGCCTCCTGGGTTCAGGCAATTCTCCTGCCTCAGCCTCCTGAGTAGCTGGGATTACAGGCACGTGCCACCATGCCCAGCTAATTTTTTGTATTTTTAGTAGAGACGGGGATTCACCATGTTGACCAGGATGGTCTCGATCTCTCGACCTCGTGATCCACCCGCCTCGGCCTCCCAAAGTGCTGGGATTACAGGCTTGAGCCACCGCGCCCGGCCAAGACACTTTTGTCTCCACGTTTCAGAGTCCATTCCTCTGCCTCCTCTCCCCAGGCCCTCTCCACTGACCTCACAATCTGTTTCCTATCACCACGGGGCAACTTTAAAAAAAAAAACACCTCTTGAGAGCCAGGCACTCTACAAATGTGCAGTAATTCTCATGGCAATCCTGAGAGGTAAATGGTGTTATTCCCATTTGAGAAATGGACAAATTGAGGCTCCTCGAAGTTAAATACGTGTACACAGGAGGCAGTTGAACATAGTGGGTTAGAGCACAGGACAGACCTTAATTAACCTGGGCCAGTTATCTCCTCTTCTCTGGATGATGTATGAGGGACTTTTGCTTTGCTGAGGCCTTATTTCCCCAGTAGTAAATGGGATAATATCACTGTTTAACCTCATGGAGCTTTGTGAGGGTTTGCAAAACTGAGGTATCAAAAGCTCCTGGTCCCAGGCAAGGCAGGTGCAAATGCTGAGCAATGTTAACTGCTAACACTGCCCAAGGCCATCACAGGAGGACCATCTGGAATGTCTGTGACTCTGGCTCCAAAGCCCCAGGGACCCTCACTTTTCTGCCCACACCCTCACAGTCTCCCTTCTCCTTGGCCTCTCCCTGCGCGCCCCTGCCCTGACCCCGGGCCTCCCCAGGCACTCTCTGTGCTTGTTCTGCCGGGCAGGCACCAGTTCCTGGCCCTGGTGTCCCACCGATCCAGGCCGGCAAAGGCCACCCGGACGTGCCCAGCCCTGTGGCCCTGCGGCCCCGCGTACCGGCTGAGCTGGACTCCGATCTCATACAACGCCCCCGGCCCCCACCTTGGCTCACCCGGTGCCACAGGCCACGTCGAGCACCCGCTGGCAGCCGTGCTGGCGCAGCAGCCCGAGCAGCCATGCCTTGTACTCGGCGGTGCGACTGCGGGTGTCTCCGATGTACATCTGCCACACGCGCGCCGCCTCCCCATCCGCGTACTGGTCCGGGAGCCCTTCGGCTGCCACCCCCAGGGAGCGGGTCCGATACACGCTGTCCACCATCCTGCGCCGCGCCTGGCTCTGCAGCCTCTCGCTCCAAACTTATAGCGCGGGAGTTCCAGCGGCCGACGGCCCCACCTGACCAATGGCAGGTGAGCTCTCGGACACGCCCCTGCTGGGCTTTGGGCAGGGCGCCTGAGGCTGGCCAGCTCCGGAGGAGGGCGCTGCCTCGAAATCCCGGGCTGGGTCCTTTTCCCCAGCCTGTGGACCCAGTACTCTGTAATCCCACAGCGAGAGGACCCTCGGAGCCCTCTGGCTACTTAACCTGGGTCTCCAGGAGAAGACAAGAGGGGCCAGGAGAGGAGAAAGCAATGAGATTGCACTCCACCCCGACCCCAGTTAGAGAGGGAGTAAAACCTCAGATCCACAGAGCAGAGCGCCAGGCGGGCAGGGCTGGACCGTTTCCAGGAAGGAAGGTTCCATGTTTAGGTGGGCAGCACCTAAACGTGGAAGCAACTGCAGGTTTTGTTTGTTTTTTGTTTTGTTTTGTTTTGTTTGGGGGGGGGGGGCAGAGTCTGGCTCTGTTGCCTAGGCTGGAGTTCTGAAACTTTGTCATACGAGTTCTGAAAATGCATTTTAAAAATCTAGAGAATGGGGGCCGGTAGCTGTGGCTCACGCCTATAATTCCACCACTTTGGGAAGCTGAAGCAGGCAGATCACCTGAGGTCAGGAGTTCGGGACCAGCCTGATCAACATGGAGAAACCCCGTCTTTACTAAAAATACAAAAAGTTAGGCTGGGCACCGTGGCTCATGCCTGTAATGCCAGCACTTGAGAGGCCGAGGCAGGTGGATCACCTGAGGTCAGGAGTTAGTGATCAGGCTGACCAACAAGGTGAAAGTCAGTCTCTACTAAAAACACAAAAATTAGCCAGGCTTGGTGGCAGGCGCCTGTAGTTCCAGCTACTTGCGAGGCTGAGACAAGAGAATTGCTTGAACTGGGAAGGTGGAGGTTGCAGTGAGTCCAGATCACACCACTGCACTCCAGCCTGGACAACAAAGCGAGACTCCATCTCAAAAAAAAAAAAAAAAAAAAAAAAAAAAAAAAAAAAAAAAAAAAAATTAGCTGGGCATGGTGGCACATGTCTGGAGACTGGGCTAGGAACAGTGGCTTATGCCTGTAATCCCAGTAGTTTGGGAGGCAGAGGTGGGCAGATCACCTGAGGTCAGGAGTTTGAGACCAGCCTGACCAACATGGTGGAACCTACCTCTACTAAAAATACAAAAACTAACAGGGCCGGGCGCGGTGGCTCAAGCCTGTAATCCCAGCACTTTGGGAGGCCGAGGCGGGTGGATCACGAGGTCGAGAGATCGAGACCATCCTGGTCAACATAGTGAAACCCCATCTCTACTAAAAATACAAAAAACTAGCTGGGCGTGGTGGCGCGTGCCTGTAATCCCAGCTACTTAGGAGGCTGAGGCAGGAGAATTGCCTGAGCCCAGGAGGCGGAGGTTGCGGTGAGCCGAGATCGCGCCATTGCACTCCAGCCTGGGTAACAAGAGCGAAACTCCGCCTCAAAAAAAAAAAAAAAAAAAAAAAAAAAAGCTGGGTATGGTGGTGCACATCTGTAATCCCAGGTACTCTGAAGGCTGAGGCAGAATAGCTTGAAACCCGGAAGGTGGAAGTTGCAGTGAGCCGAGATTGTGCCACTGCACTCCAGCCTGGACAACTGAGGGAGATTCTATCTCAAAAAAAAAAAAAGTCTGGAGAATGAAGAGTGTTATTAAATTGGAATAATAACCAAGATGATAGGGGAATAATTTCTTTGTCACTATCTACAAATAGGTTGGCCATATATATATACAATATTTGAAACATTAAGTGGCTTAAGGCAATTGATTATTTTCCCCTTATTATTACTTTCTTTTCCACTTGCTTTGTTTGGGAAAGGAATGCTGAAGGAGGTAGCAGGGTCTCTCTCTCTCTCTCTCACTGCGACCTCCACCTCCCAGGTTCAACTTCTGCCTCAGCCTCTCGAGTAACTGGGACTTCAAGTGCCTGTCACTACACCCAGCTAATTTTTTTTTTTTTTTTTTTTTTGTATTTTCAGTAGAGACAGGGTTTCACCGTATTGGTCAGGCTGGTCTAGAACCCCTGACCTTGTGATCTGCCCACCTCAGCCTCCTAAAGTGCTGGGATTACAGGCGTGAGCCACCACACCCAGCCCAGGATCACTCTTTTTTTACATTTTATTTTTTTGAAATAGGGTCTTGCTTTGTTGCCTAGGCTGGAACACAGTGGTGTGATCATAGCTCACTGCAGCCACAAACTTGCAGGCTCAAGCAATCTTCCCATCTCAGCCTCCCAAGTAGCTGCTATCATAGGCCTGTGCCACCATTCCTGGCAATTTTTTTTTTTTTTTTAAGAGATGGGGATCTCACTGTTGCCCAGTCTTGTCTCCTGGGCTCGAGTGATCCTTTTGCCTCAGCCTCACAAAGTGCTGGGATTACAGTCACAAACCACTTCACCTGGACTCTTTCAAATCTTCAAGACCAGCCTGACTGACATAGTGAAACCCTGTCTTTTAAAAAAAAAATAATAAAAGCTGGGCGCAGTGGCTCATGCCTGTAATCCAGCACTTTGGGAGGCCGAGGCGGGTGGATCATGAGGTCAAGAGATCGAGACCATCCTGGTCAACATGGTGAAATCCCGTCTCTACTAAAAATACAAAAAATTAGCTGGGCATGGTGGCGCGTGCCTGTAATCCCAGCTACTCAGGAGGCTGAGGCAAGAGAACTGCCTGAACCCAGGAGGCGGAGGTTGTGGTGAGCCGAGACCGTGCAATTGCACTCCAGCCTGGGTAACAAGAGCGAAACTCCGTCTCAAAAAAAAATAATAATAATAAAATAAAATTAAAAAATAGTATGTCGCCACCATTATTAGTGTTAGAACCCACTGGTATAGAGACCCATTTTACACTTAACTAACAGGATTTTCTTAAAAGTCCAAAAAAGGACCTACTGTGATAACTCTGCTAGCAGATCCAAGTGGGTGGGTGGATCTGCTAGCACCCCTGAAGTGTTATCAGTGTTCAGTCTGGGGTAGATCCAATTGGCAGAGAAGAGTTTTATGCAGTGGCTTGGACTAGAGTTTGGGATTTGGCATTCATCATCGGAAGAATGGATTTCTACCTGTTCTAAATCAAAAACAAGCCATGTGCAGTACCTACCTGTAGTCCTAGCTACTTGGGAGGTGACTTGAGAGTATCACTTGAGCCCAGGAGTTCCAATCCAGCCTTGGCAACATTGGCGAGACTCATCTCTAAAAAGCAAATAAAAATAAAAAAACACCAAAACCACCAGGATGTTTCCCATTTGCAGTTATTCTATCTACATAATTTACAATTGCAGGATTTTAATGTGTCCTCAAATGCCTTGGAGTTTGTCCAGTTACAGCCACATTCCCAAGGTGAAGTCTTTTTGCAAACAGGTCACACATTTGGGAATGAAGAATTTAGTCTTTTCAGCTAATTCCAAATAATGTGTCTCACATTTAAAATATCACCTGTTCTAGCTGGGCATGGCGGCTCATGCCTGTAATCCCAGGTGGGTGGATCACGAAGTCAGGAGTTCAAAACCTGCCTGGCTAACATGGTAAAACCCCATCTCTACTAAAAATACAAAAAATTAGCCAGGTATGGTACTTTGGAGGTGGAGGCAGGAAGAATCACTTGAACCCGGGAGGCAGAGGTTGCAGTGAGCTGAGATCATGCCACTTCACTCCAGCCTGTGTGACAGAGTGAGACTCTGTCTCAAAAAAAAAGAAAAAAAAAATCACCTGTTCTTTTTTTTTTCTCTTTTTTTTTTTTTTTTTGAGACAGAGTCTTGCTCTGTCGCCCAGGCTGGAGTGCAGTGGCGTGATCACTGCTAACTGCAACCTCCGCCTCCCAGGTTCAAGCAACTCTCCTGCCTCAGCCTCTGGAGCAGCTGGAATTACAAGCGTGCACCACCACGCCTGGCTCATTTTTTATTTACTTTCGTTTTTTTTCTTTTTTTTGAGACGGAGTCTTGTTCTGTTGCCTGGGCTGGAGACCAGTGGTGCAATCTTGGCTCACTGCAACCTCCACCTCCTGGGTTCAAGCAATTCTCCTGCCTCAGCCTCCTGAGTAGCTGGGATTACAGGCACCTGCCCCAGCTCCTGGCTAATTTTTTTATTTTTAGTAGAGATGGGGTTTCACCATCTTGGCAATACTGGTCTTAAACTCCTAACTTTGTGATCCACCTGCTTCAGCCTCCCAAAGTGCTGGGATTACAGGCCTGAGTCGCCACGCCCACCTAATTTTTGTATTTTTAGTAGAGACAAGATTTCACCATGTTGGCCAGGCTGGACCTATTCTTATTTTCAATGAAGTCAAACAGTAACTGATTTATATTCTGTCATCTTTTCCATGGCCCAGGACCTCAGATTTGGGTCATCTAAAATTTATGGATAGATGGCTGGGCAAGGTGGTCGTGCCTGTAATCCCAGCACTTTGGGAAACTGAGGCAGGTGGATTGCTTGAGCCCAGGAGTTTGAGACCAGCCTGGGCAACAAAGTGAGACTCTGTCTCTACAAAAATAAAATTTACAGAGATGAATTAAGTAAAATAAAAGGCAGTTTTAATATATTGCAGTGGGCATGACATGGACAATTTGGAGATGAAGGATTGAAATTATTTGGTACACTTTGGCAATAATTAAAGAAGATACAATAGCTCTAAGTATATACATTACTATTAAGTGTAGTGTATCAGTGAGTACTCCACTGATGTGTAAGAGAGGTTCTCCCAAAAAGCCCTGAATTCACTACACAATCTATGCATGTAATAAAATACTTGTGCCTTATAAATTTATAGAAATAGAAAACTTAAAAAAAAAAAAGAGAGAGGTTCTTTTTACCATTTCACACTTTATTTAAAGCAGGGTTTCATTTGTTTTGTTTTTTGAGACTAGGTCTCAGTCTGTTCCCCAGGCTGGAGTGCAGTGGTGTGATCACAGATGCTCACTGTAGCCTTCACCTCCTGGAATCAAGTGATCCTCCCACCTGAGAGGCTAGGATCACACCTGGCTAATTTTCTTTTTTTTTTTTTTTTTAGTAGAGACA